GGCTCTATTTCTGGTTGCCGGTATTATCCTGTTGACTTGGTGCATTAAAAGAAGTAAAAGAAGAAGTAATCAAAGAAGAGATAGGCGAAGCACTCCAGAAACAATGACATTAGGAGCTGGTGATTTCAATGTAGAGCAGAATTAATTAAATGACTTTTTAACGATTGATCATTTTTTAGACTTTGCACATGTAATCAGGTTTATACCAATAATTATTATTAATAAACATTACATGTAAGTGGCTGTTTACAGCGTGTTTTTCATGTACTAGCATTCGAATGATGCATTAACTGCTACAGGACTGATTGGACAGTTAAGAGGGCAAATTTAACTTTAATTCAACGTTATTTTATGCCGTGGACACAGACAATGTGCTATACATTAATTATTTTCATGGAATTAGTCAATAACTAGCAAATTCATTTTGTAGGTGCTACAATTGATTTCTGTAAAATTTTGACACAGGCGACTTATATTTGTGTAAATGCGACAACTGGTTTACGTCTCTGAGACTGTTGGTTTATGTTACTTAAAGTGAATATTATGAAATTATTCAAAATTGCATGAAAAGGATAATAGTTTTTGTAGTTTATTGTCATTTCTGACCATTTCTTGCAGCAATACGAAATGTTCCAACAATTCTTGTTACCCGGATATTGTTTTTTTTTTTTTTTGGTTATATTCTTTTGTTACTTTTAAATGGATTAATGTGGTATAAATGAGCGAGATGATGACACCAAATAATTTAAAACTGCACCAGGTATACATATACGAATTTCGTGATCAAGCGATCAAACTTTTTAAAGCAGTAAACGAATGTATATTAATATTTTTCCTTGCAATTTATATGTGTTCAAAGCATGATGCTTACATCCTGAGAATTGTAGTCTACATTTATCCAGTTACATCTCAGGCACGTAGTATGCCAGTTGGGGTGTACTTTATTTCCTGAAAATAGTCTTTTGCTTTAGTTTTGATTCATGTTTTTAATTTTTTATGTAGACATGCCCCCCCCCCCCAACTTTTTTGTAACCGTAAGGTAGCTGCATTTAAATGAGATAGACGACCGAAGTGCTACAGTGCCACCCAAACAAAAATCTGTTTAAAAATGCGCCCAAAAGCTGCGATTGGTACTTGATTAATTCCTCCAAATTTTTATCTCAACTGCACAAAGCTAAAACCAGAAGTCTCTGTCGAGACTGAAGCTCTACTGGTTTGTACTTATAATAAAGAAAGAGAAAATAAATCTTTACAAAAGCAATAAATGGAATAATGACAAAAACCGATATACAGAATTATGTATCTTAGTGTAGTCTACTTGTGTGCCAAGTTATATTGAAATCAGACCAAAACTGTAGGAGGAGTAGCATTTTAATTGTTTTTCACAGAAATTTCTATTTTTAGTAACAACGGCAACACCATTCTTTGAAATCAAAAACCGATAAATAGAATTATGTATCTTAGTGTAGTCTACTTGTGTGCCAAGTTATAATAAAATCAGACCAAAACTGTAGGAGGAGAAGCATTTTGAAAGTATTTTTTTTTAATTCTATTTTTTTAGTAACAATGGCAATATCGTTCATCGAAATCAAAAAACCGCTATATAGAATTATGTATCTTTGTGTAGTCTACTCGTGTGCCAAGTTATATTGAAATTATATTTAAACTGTAGGAGGAGGGGTGTTGCTAAAACGCGGAACGGAAAACGGAACGGAAAACGGAAAATATTTGTCAAGCAAATGACAAAGATTCGATAAATCAGATAAAAGAGCAATATTCTTGTGGTAAAAGTCATTTCTAATAAAAATTTATTGTAAACTATTATATATTTATGAGTCAGCCACACATACAGAATGATACTGAAATTCGACACCCCCCCCCCCCCCCCACACACACACACACGTATTAAATTGGATTTTCGTGTTTGGGCAAAGGACATATCCCCCTTTTTTGCTTGTCAAATTTGTTGTATGTTGGAAATTTTTTACTGACCCCTGACCCCCACCCCCTCTTTCAATTTGTTTCCAATGTCAGTGTCTGTAAAGACAAAAATAACTAGTTTTGATATTCAGATTATGCACGCAATGTCGTCGAATTCGCGAATGATGAACGGGGAGTGGCAGTTTCGGGTCTATGTAGGACCCACAGCCACATTTAAAACTAATTTATTAAACCTTATGTATATTTTGGACACAAAAAGGGGGGGGGGGGGGGCAGACCTATCACAGCTTATAAGACATTTCCGATTAGCGGGAAAACAAACTCATTTTACGGGGTCATTCATAAACACCACCACCCTCTAACATACACACATATGTACCGCAAACAAACAAAATTTAAATTTAAAGATTCTGCATTATATCTGCCACATGAAAGTTTTCCAACTTTGTCTATCCAGAAAACGACTCTATTTTGAATAAAATTTTAACAACCAGTGTGTATAAGAGATGTTTATTCGAGATTTGCCCTAAAAGCAATCCTAAATATTTTTTTTTTTACATTTTATTTCTCTCTCCATGGTTCGATAAGATATTAAATATTTGCTCCCCCCCCCCCCAGTCATAACCTTTTTTCTAAGGAAATGTTCGTTCAAGTTCACATCCTCACACTTTTTGTGAATGTAATTCATGTAGTAAGTTAGTGTAAAAAAAATAGTACTGAAAGATGTTGGAGTTGGAACTTACCCCCCTCCCGAATAAAACAATTGTTTTCTTTTTGTGTTTTCTCCCCATCCCGACCCGAATCAAACAATTGTCTTCTTTTTGTGTTTTTGCTTGTCAAATACTTTTCAAGTTCGTTTACCCCCCCCCCCCCTTTTCAAATTCGATTCTAGGTGACTGACTATATTAGTGATTTTCGTAAATAAGAGACTGAGCATGATAAAATCAACTTGTATTTAATAGTGGGGGATTGAATGTGTACAAGATATATCGTTTATGATAAAATTTGTGTATTTTAAGTGATTTAATCCAAAATAATATACATGTATTCCGTTTTCCCGTTCCGTTCCGTTTTCCGTTCCGCGTTTTAGCAACACCCGTAGGAGGAGTAGCATTTTGAATGATTTTCACAATTTTTTCTATTTGTGGTAACAACAGCAACACCGTTCATCGAAATCAAAAACCGATACACAGAATTATGTATCTTAGTGTAGTCTACTTGTGTGCCAAGTGATATTGAAATCAGACCAAAACTGTAGGAGGAGTAGCATTTTGAATGATTTTCACAAAAAATTCTATTTTTAGTAACAAAGGCAACACCGTTCATCAAAATCAAAAACCGATACACAGAATTATGTATCTTAGTGTAGTCTACTTGTGTGTCAAGTTATATTGAAATCAGACCCAAACTGCAGGAGGAGTAGCATTTTGAAAAATTGTTTACAGACGGACAGACAGACAGACAGACAGACGGACGGACGCATTACTATTGCATAAGCTCTTCTGGTCTCTGAACAGTAGAGCTAAAAAATCATGACCTTTAGAATTCTTCACGAAGCGTGTTGCAATTGAAACGATTTGACTGTCTCTTGTCATCTGCAGAAAAAATGCGAAATGGAGGGTTATTTACAACAGTTATTTGTTTTGGAAATAGTGAGTGGAAATTGTAAAGGAATTTATTTGGAACACCCACTATAAGTAAAATTGTTTTTAGAATATGACAGTTTGAATCCGAGAAGCAGCACACTTTTATGCACAATAAATACCGGTTTACATTTTTTCCAGCTCTCCCGTCTTCGGACAGATAGTTCTGCAGCTAACCGTAAGGTTTGCAAACCCAGCCGTTGTGATCTTCGCTTGCCAAGGGTTTCTAATACGCACTTTCGTCAGTTTATGCAGAAAGTAGCATATGAGAAACCCTCCGATAGTAAAGATGGCCGTTGTGGACAAATGGAATAGTTAGAGAAAGGTCCCCAACACACGATAAAATAGGACTGCTCTTCCTAGCTTCAGCACGGCAGCGTTATGGTTTTATATTTAAGTCTTTATAGTCAAAGAAGAAAACATGAAACCATAAGTTAACTACAGTTTTAGAGCTGTTTCTTGGGTTGTCAATCACCTGCGATCCTCATCCTTCCTACGTATACATTGAAAATAATGTCACGGGTCTGTATGCTTAATAAATAGACCGGTGTCTTTATGTCATTCAAATATAAGAATATTTTGTTGAGATATCAAAATATTCCATAGAAGTTAATTATCTAAAATACATAATGTCATCTTTCCAAGTCAAAGGTTTCCAATTCGAAATCTACTCTCTTGGCTAGCGAAGATGGGAGGGGATGTAAAAGTAAAACACTCTTACATGCATCAACGTCTATTCCCTTCAAATACGTAACCAGAGTGAATTTTGCATTTTTAAATCCTTTATTGTTTCACATAATAGAACAATTTATGTGGGGGGGGGGGTATATATGCAATATTTTTTAAATATTTGATAGAAGCAACCGATCCTTGAATTGGAGGTATATATATTTTGGGGATTTGTTCAAGAAATTTGCACTATCTGATGTGTCAATATTAAATTTAAACGTATTTCTCTGGTAATTAAATTTTGTCTAAAATTAAAGGCGGATATTGATAATTCGTGGCTTTAGCTCTTTATGATACAGCAGTAAAACGTCGTACCTCATGAAACAGGGCAGAAGCCAAACGTAGCAATTAGGCGTGTCAAGAGTCGCACATACAGCAACCATACTCGCAATGTTATCAGAAAACTCAATATTGCATCAAAAGTTTTAATCTTGTGAAACATAAAAGAAACAGGAAATCATAAATGATTCATATACATGTAGTATATACTCATATCACTTTTAACATAAATAATGTAGCGTTAATCGAGTTTACCACTTTAACAGCAAATATGAATAATCTAGTAAAATACATGAAACGAGTGTAATCTAAAGCATTTACGGGATTGCTCCTTATTTGTATTTAACCAACAAGGAATTCTACTGCATGAAACCATACTGGACATTAATAATTAAGTCATTATCAAATGTTCTATCATTTCTTATAGTTAAGTTGACATAGACTGCCTCATTAATGTAAACCAATAGTAGCTGGAGTCCGAAACCAAGATTTTCTCGATTCGCACTTTACCAGCAGTGATAATTATATTTAGTTCCTATTTTGACTGTAATTTAAGCGGTTATATCTAAGTATGCTTATCTCATATAGACATAAAACAGCACGATCACTCTAGATTACTACATTCTGACATTCGGATGAAGGCGAAAACCTGTCTACTTATCTCAGAATATTGACTGCCATGAAAGGTAATGACGTATTGCTCATACGTAGAGCATGCTTATTGCTTTGCGTTTCGAATGAACTGAGATATAAGCCTCATACGCATGTATTATTGCTTTTGAATGGCCTCTATGTTGTTGAAAAGTATATTTGACATTGTCATTTACATCCTGGTCGTTTTATTATGTTTTATCAACGTGGGTTCTTTTTTCTCTTTTTTTTTGCACGCACTGAAACGAGACTACATCTGTCAAATTTAATTTAAAGCGTATATAGTTCATTGCTTAATTAAATACTCTTTCGGTTATTTAAGAAAAAAATCAAGTTTGTGTTGAAATTTTGTAAAAGGAGATTGCAAATGCAGTTACTAGTATCTGATTTTCATTGCTTTAAATGTACAATGGTATTGACAATTCATGATTTTCATCCTTCATTTAATCCCAGAGGTATTGACAATGTATGGTTTTCATCCTTTATTTAATCCTTGAGGCAATGATATCAAGAATGTTATCTGATAATTATCGTAAAGACATGAACATATACCCAGTAGATCGAGATATATGTATAATGTACATTGTCATTGTTGTTTTTAATAATCATGTTGAATAAATTTGTTCTTATTTATTTATCAATTTTATATATTTACATATCTAATTTTTTTTATTCACATAGCCCAATATAAGAATTTGTATAAAATTAAAACAATTTATGATTTCTTTTACATTATGACTACTTTCACTCACAGATTCTTACTACTAGTAACTTAAAACAGTCTCATTCTTTAGATGATTATAATGATAACAAAATGGTTCGAAAAAAGTTCATATATCTCATATACATGTATCTTACAATTTTACTTGAAATATATATTTACTACTCTATATAGAAACTAGACAAATTTCATTATGAAAACAGAGTAAACATTTTTATAATAAGCTCATTAAAATGTTTTTGTTTTTTGTTTTGGTCACAAAGACCATTCCTTTTCAGATTTATTTATGTGGTAATTTTTGATAGCTATGTACATTTTTCAATACTCTGAGTATTAATAACCCCCCAAGATAATTTTACCTTAAATAAAACATGTAAAAATGTATTGTTTTGTATATAAAATTATAAAACTTTTGACATTGTTGCTATACGTCATTGGTATTTCACCTAAAATTACATTTTCAACATTAAAACCAACTCTTTTGTTCATTGTTTTGTAAATATGTAATCTAAGGATGGTCCACAGAGATAAAACTTCTTCACAACCAATGAAAACATGTTAAATAGTTTCTCCTTCTTGTTTACAGAAATTACAAATATCTGAATTCTTAAATCGGAATTTCGTTAACTTTTAAATAATAGTTAAAAGGTAGAATCCTATGTAAATTTCTAATTCTAAAACTTAAAGTTCTAAAAAATATACATATCTAATTGTTTTCTCTGAGGTCCTGGTAAGTTAATTTTTAGATGTAAATTTCCGAAAGTCCCTGATTTGCATGTCTAAATGTCGTGCAACTTTTATTTAATTTATAAATGTAAGTACAGTGTATAAGGAATCACTGTATAGTTTGTAGGGTACGCCATGGACATCAACGGCAGTTGGAAACAAGGGATAATTTATACCGAACAAACTAAACAGTGAATTCTTTTTAAAATAATTTCTGTAAAAATATTGAAAAAAAAAAGTCTTGCATTTTACAAAGTAAATTAAGTTTTTAGATGTGATAGATAAAAAATATTATTACGTTTTATTTTAACAAGCTGAACATTTTTTTGTATTACATGTTTTTCATGCACGATGAAACACAACATCGTTACATATAAATCAATTGATGTCAGGAGATGTAAATAACTTTCTTGTATGGATAAATATTTCAATATGCTTTTTTTTTAACCTCTGTCACCAACTCATCAATGCAGAAGAATAAAAGGTGGACACGAGAACAACACAGTTTACAGTCAGCAATTTTTTTTTCGAGGAAGCGAGTTCTAATGCAACCGAAAAGCATGTTCTCTTTTAGTTTCGTGTACCCATATTAATTAGTAAAGCTGAATCGCATGTTTCTATTATATTAAATATTCTCGAATTTTGTGTTTACCCATGTTACCTTCTAACGCTATACTACGTACAAGTGTGAAATAATCAAAACGCAATTAAAAAGATCTAAAAGAAAGGACAAACCAAAAATCAAGAACAAATCAAATATGGATACTTTAAAAACTATAAAATTCAAAAGAGCTTTCTAATCGAGAGAATACATAACAAAAGAATCCTGTCTCATTCATAAAATAAATTGAAAAATTCAAGGAATATATCCTCTTTCTATGTCCTCTATACAATATAGGTACGAGATAATTCAATATTTCCATATTGAATAATCAATATTGCTTTTCCCTTTAGTCAATAAAGGAAATCATGAATTCCTGCCCTACCCTATCAGATACACGAAAGTTCAACATAAGTTTTTGTCATCCGCGTACTTTAATGGTATATTTTTATTATATAGATGGAATTCTATGTAGCTTCAGAGAATGACAGCACGATGAAATGGTGGACTTTTATAGCTGTACTTGTTATAAGTAGGTAAAATTTTTATTTATAAAATTGTTGTGGAAGGATCATTAGGAAAGCGACAATATTCATTATATAAAATTTTCCTAAAGCTGAAATATAGAGAAAGCGAACAGTATCAAACTCACCATTAAAAACATACAAATAAGAAGCAGAACATACAATTATCTCTAAATCATATGAGGTGGAATGAGTCAACATCCCCTAAAAAGAAAAAAAACGCCGACAATCGATGGATAAAATTATGGCCAACCATTAGTACGAAAAAGTCTTTTGACTCAATGATAAATTGTATTTGCTGTTCATTTGTTAGTTTCATCAACTTGTTTGTCACAAGCTAATTGCCTCGATCGTTTTAAAAAATATCTGTGCGTAGAGCATGCTCTTTCACATCGAATAAACTGCAAGATATAAACCCAATATGCAGGCGATAAGGATATATTACTAGTATTTCATACGTAAGGGAGGTTGAGGATCGAGTTGATGTCATCAACTTTATCATATTTAACTTTGTTGTTCGATTATCATTGACTTATTTTTCTTGTAAAATATTCAAAAATGAGACAGAATTTCAAGTTCAATGAGATACTAGTACATCGATATATCGTATCGGCATATGAATGGAATTTATTTTTTTCAATTGGAAATATGACATCGATAAACGTATGTATCTTAATAGAATTGAAGACTACAGCAAGTGTTTTCCCCTTCTCATTAACTTTTTAAAAAGATTCTATTTCATAAGATGACTGTTATAGGACATTGAATAAGAATGTTAAAAAAATTATTGGCAACCAGTTGGCCGGGAAAGAAAGATTTTGTGGACACAAAATTAAAAAAAGCCCCTTTTTGTAAATTGTTAATTATTCATTAGTCAGAATATCTTGTCTGCAAAATATTAATCGAAAAACTACAAATTTCGGTTTTTACAAAGTTCTTCAATTAAATAAGCCCGGTTTCCGAACTCTAAGTCCCTTATCATATACAGTTGTCGTGTAGCACAAATTGAAAATTAATGCTCTTCGTTTTTTTCAGCAATTTCATTGGTAAATACCAGAGGAGGTCGAGGTGGATTTTCAGGTGGGCGTTCTGGGGGTCGGGGAGGAAGTAGCGGTTTTAGATCCTCTTTCAGTGGTAGACGGCTTTCCAGCTCCAGTAGTATTCGGACCGCTCTGCGGCAAGGAAGAGTGTACGGAGCTACTCGGTATCGCATTAGGAACAGTTATAGAGCCCAGGGCACTTGTATGTGTGCATCTGACAAAATATCTATATGCAAAAAGTAATATCAAAAATATCTATTTTAATAGGCTCACACATTCAGCTGTATCATCCTGATGTAAAAGATGTAACTGATCTTCTTTAAATCATTGCATTACATGGTAACATTTCTCGGTTAGGAATTTTATCCCCATCCCCACCAAAGAAAGACCAACTACAATAACATTAAAAATGAAAATAATTTGTTTCAAAAGAATCGTTTTGGAATCTTTGCTTTTCTAAAAGTCTTATTCTTAAATTGTTTTATAATTCTAAATTATAGTTTTTGTTTACAGTGCCTAAGGTTTGCTACAACGACAAGTATGACAAGAGCCCTAATGGAAGCGTGTCGTACAAGGGCCGGTTTTTCTGTCCACTTGATGAGACCATGTCTGATGATTACAGATACTGTTGTGGAGAGGAGGGGCTTCAATATTGCTGTACTTCCCGGAACGAGTACGTTTATTTTTAATGCCCCTAAAATCGAAGAATCGGGGGTATACAATTTCGCCCTGTCCACCCGTCTATCGAACTGTCTGCCTGTGTGTCTAACCTTATGTTAGCCTTGTGATGTACCTGTGTTAGCCTTGCCCATAACTTTTGGTTGTTTAAGCTCTGGCTTGACATGTGTAGTCGTTTTAAGATCTTTCTTTCGGTATAAATATATTTGACCCCTGATCTTGACTTTGAATTTTAGCTGATTAAAAAAATATTTATACATGTACAGTGTATAATAAGGATTTAGCCCTAGCTTTTAATACTTTTATATTGTTTGTGCTAGGGCTTCACATGTGTATTCGTTGTGACAAGACCTTCCTAATATTTTTCACTTCTTGCTTTTGACCTTAGACTTTTTCTAAGGGTACTTAACACAAACAAAAAATAGATGCATGGATTGATTTATAATTTTTGACTGATATTGATTTGAAATGACATAAATTATAAATCCCTGAAATATAAAGAAATCGTAGGTTTTCCTTGGTGCTTATATATGAGACTTTGTATTGCTTTCTATCTAATTCCATACAATTTTTTTTTTAACCTTATGAGTTATGACAAAATCTTATACACTTCTCCCAATATACTTAGTAAACATCATTCAGGTTACCAATTTAAATGTAAATCTATGAGAAACATTGCTGATTTCTGAAAAAAAAGTTTGTTTGTGTTATTTATCCTTAAAAAACTACAGATTTATTTATTAGAAGTCCTTTCTTCAAACAATATTTGAATTATCCCTTGATTTTGGAGTTTAACTTGCACTTGAGAAACCTTAATCTTCGCCACAGGCTGTCATACGGGGACATCAGTGTTTCCACAAACAAGATTTTTTAAAAATAAATATAGTCATCATTTGCATATTTGACATATGCTAATGTTGACTTATAAGATACAGTAAAAATTGGCATGGCGCGGTACTTTTAAAACAAAAAATATATACTTTTGATTAGAGAGAAACCCATTTAACTTTTATTGGTGCCGTACATTACCTTCCAGAGTACTGTAAAGTAGACTCTGAAATATAAAATTTAAAAGAAAAAAAAACCCTCATTCATTGATAAAATTTATTGCAAAAAAATCCATCAATTTATAACATGGAAATAAATTAAACATCATGGAATTAATTCAATCGTGTTCATCCCTTCCTTAATCTTTAAAGCTAACATTGAAAATGCAGACTTGAAAAACCTTTTCCAAAGTGCATTTCATCATTAATCAAAAATGACATTGCATGGAACAGAGAATTTCATGAATCATTCATGTGTTTATCTGATTTCCCTACCAACACCTGTTTTTTAGGTAACTTTAGTTTCATGTAAAGGAATATATTTTCGTATTTTAGGAATTCCATTTTCAAGCTTTGACAGATGCATTTGTGTTATATTAATTAATAGAATTTCCTCTTATCATGCACAAAAACAAACAAACAAACGTTAAACGTTTAAACTGCATTATATTATACTTACAACAGAAGAAGTATCATTGCACTGGTGATAGGGATCCTTTTTGCTGCAAATGCACTCTATCTTGGCGCATCTTATATGATGAAACGTTTGAAATCAATGGACTACAGAGTTAGGAGGAATCCAATTACAATAAGGGGGTCTAGTAAGTACATTACTTTACTTTCGACAGTGCTTTTCTGACATTTGTTTTGTTGATGTGGAATCCCCTCCCCCGGGAAAAAATCCTGGACAACCCCGCACAGTTGTATATTTTAATTAAGTGCTTTTACTGTTTTTTATTTAAGAATAAGTATATTATTTTTATATTTAATTTTTAAATAAAAATCAGTAAATGCACGACTTAGTTTTTTTTAAATACTAGTACTTCAACTTATCTGTTTGAATTAATCCTAGTTTAGTTTTAGAAGAAAGTTTTAGAATGTTAATTGTTTATGATAATCAATTCATCCTTGAAAAAAAATTCATAGACGTCGGAAGCAAATTGAAAGTGGAGTGGCTAATTGAAAATGGGGGCTAAACCAACAAAAACAGGTAAGCCCCAATTTTCAATGCAAATATTATGTCTATCTTTGAAAAGATGTGCAAAATCACCACCACCCCGGTAAATGCATTTAAAGGCAAGAAAAAATATTTGAAGGAAAAAAAAATAGTTACATTTTTAAAATTTTGAATTATACGAAGGTTTATCTAAAAGGAATGTCAAAAGCTTTTACTTTAAATTTTATTAATCGCAAGTTATCAACAAAATCTCATATACTTATTTCCTGTAAAAACACACATTTTCGTGGGACAAAATTTCATAGTGGAAAAGGGGGCTAACAATACTGAGTAGTTTATATGGTTTGATGAAGAAATGCTATAGTTTTTTTTTTTTAAAAATCTGAAGCAAAATTCAAAATAAAAAAGGGCTATTAATATAAGTATGTGCAATTTATTTTTATGTTTCATAAGTTTGCCTTTTAAAAAATAAAAATAAGAGTTATAATCAAATATCTGAATAATTATGGCTTAATTTACATAATTATCAATATTCTTCTTATCATCATTATTGTAAATTTTAGACACAAGCTTTTCTATAAGTCATGAAACCTCTCCAATTTATTTCCTCCCGTCGTATGAGATGACAAACACAGATGAAGAACTATGGCCACTGCCTCCATCACCAATTCAGAATTCACATACTCAAAACTAGGGTGTAACATCGTCTTAGGAAAAAAATCAGAGAATTTGAGTCCCCTATTAAGGAAAAATAGAGCAATGAGGGGACGAACCCCCTGGTTTTGCAGAACTATTAAATGTATGTACTGAAGCAAATAAAAAAATGTCAATATGGATGGATATAAAGATTTGAATGCTTATTCTTTGAATTAAGTACAGAAGATTCCTTTTTATATAAAATATTGTTAATATTTTTATGCGAAAGTTTGAACACACCATGCGTCATTTCACACGCTTTGTATGATTATACTAAATATACAAAGCCTATTAGTATAGGTCTTAGACACATTGGATTCTTAATGTAGTTAATGATACACGTTTAAGGAACTTAATTGTTCCGTGTAGGTACCCCTTTTGAGGATTGATTAATTGTAGTTTTATGCCCCATTCGAGAATTCTTCACTCATATAGAGACGTCTCCATGTACCGGTGAAGGGCTTCAAATTTAGAACTTTACTGCTATGGGCACTCACAGCCATTGAACAGTGAGGGTTCTTTATTGTGCCAACCTATGGATAAGTGGTATTGCATGGCTATCCTTTCTCAAAGATGTTATTGCCTTGGCCAATAGACGGGTAACTTTGAACTGAGGCCTTCCGCGTGCCCATTGGTACACCACAGTGTGTGTGCAGTGGCAGTAGAAGTGGATCGACTCCACTTGGTGTGGATTATCATTCGCTTGACGAGAACTGGACAACTCCACTAAATCATTCAATTATTTTTTTTTTACCTTTTTTCTTGTACAATTCATCAATTGTAGAGAGTGAAAGGAAGGGGAAATCATTATCTAAAAACATTACCATTCTCAAATGTTTAATAAAGACTTTTTTATTGATGAAGAATATGGAGATAACGAACAAAATTCATATGGCAATGATAAAGTAATTGCAATATAATTACACATTGAATTTTTTTTTCATTTTCACAGGGCTTAATAGCGTACAACATTATATTAACATTTTTCACCCAGCGCAACCCCTATCTGTCTTTGAATAATATTTAATGTATATAAAAATGTTAAAGATTTCTAATCATTTTCATAAATCTACTATTTACAAGTATACTTGATTATTTAAAATTTCGTAAGCACTGCTTATTATTTTAAAATTCGTTCACATCCTTTTATTCAATTTACTTAGCAGTCATTATTACATTAGTTGTATTGTTTCTCGAAGTGAAAAATAAAGGGAAATAAATTCCCTTAAAGCAGAGTAAAATATTACAATTCATTATCGTCATAGAACCCCTCATTCAGGAGCCATAAATTTCAAAATTCCGAAAAGTGTTCTTTCTCATTTTTACCCTGCACTTAGTTTCTCTGCTATAAATATTGAAGAGAAGTGGAAAAAAATTTCAACAAACTGATACATTTTACTACATAATCAAATGAATTCCAGTTTTAAAGATTCGCTGACCAAGTGAATTTCATTATTTTGGAAGAGGCACTCTTGCTTATCATAAACATACACATTAGTTTGTAAGCTCAATATCCTGCAGTTGTAACTGTTAAAATTAATATAATACCGCACTAGCTCCAGAAAGAATGAATGCAATTTCACTCTTTAATCGATTGAGCCCCAATTAACTCCAGATTCCCCGTCCCAGGGGCCTTGGGATTCACAATTTCGAAAGGAAACATCCTTATTTATCTTAATCATGCACTTTGTCTAGTAAATCACCATGAGCAAATGACGATTTTAGAAAAAAACAGAAGTCTCTATCGAGACTGTGGCTCTACTGGTTTATACTTATAACAAAGGAAGAGAAAAGTTGCAGTTGGGACTTGAAACTAAATACAACAGCAATAAATAGAATAATGATCCTTGATAAAGTCTTTTGGTGGCAATATTGCAATAAGACTACAGCTGTAGGAGTAGCTTTTGATAAAAATTTTAAAAGAATTTTCAATTTTAGCTACCATGACAACACCGTTCATCGAAATAAATTTAAAAAAATAAAGATAATGATGTATCTAAGGGTAGTCTATCTGCAAGCCACATTATATCATCATCAAACTAAAACTATATTTGTGATAGCATTTTAAAATCATTTCTCAGAAATTTCTTTTTTTAGTAACTACGGGTACACCGTTCATCGAAATCAAAAGCCGATGCACAGAATTATGTATCTTAGTCTACTTGTTTGTCAAGTTATATTGCAATCAGACCAAAACTGTAGGAGAAGTAGCATTTTAAAAGCATTTCATAGAAATTTCTATTTCTAGTAAACACGGCAACACTGTGCAACGAAATCAAAAACCGATGCAGAGAATTATGTATCTTAGTATAGTCAGCTTGTGTATTAGGTTATATTGAAATCAGACCAAAACTGTATAAGTAGCATTTTAAAAGTATTTCACAGAAATTTCCATTTTGAAATACTGTTTACAGACAGACGGACGGACGACGGACGCATTACTATCGCATAAGCTCTTCTGGTCTTCGACCAGTAGAGCTACAAATTGGGCATATTCACTTTAAATTCAATGCTCAATAAAGCCCTGTCCTAACACTTGAACCCCTGACTCAGGAACCACCAATTTCACAATCTTTGAAGGGGCACTCTTGCTCATCATAACTTTTTATCTTATTGTTTCCGCTGAATATACAAGGAGATAGAAGAATTTTGAAGACGTTATGCATTTTCACCCTAAAATCAAAAGCCTCTGGTCCAAAGGTTCAGTGCTGTTGGCTGATTGATGTATACAGATAGGATGTAAGAAAGAGGATTTGGTGGTTTTAGCCCCACCCTCAGACCCCTGGGGGACAGGGGCCATGAAATTCACATTCTTTGTTTTCCTTTACATATGGATGTTATATGCCAAAATTGGTTCTACATTCTTATGTCGATACTATATATCCTGTTGAGCTTGAGATAAAGGATACCCCAGAGTCTGACACATCCGTTTCAAATTTGAATATTTTACTTAAAAGGGACGTTAATGGTAATTTAACAACCAAGCTCTATGATAAACATGATTTTAACTTTTCTATCGTCAACTTCCCTTACTTATGCAGCGATATACCTTCATCGCCTGCTTACGGATATCTCAGTTGGTTATATATCACATATTCTAAGAAAGCACGAGGTCGGTGTCCCTATTTTTCAATGATCGTATCATCAGACTATGACAGATCTAGTATAGGATATCCTTTATGTAGGAAATGAGCTCTGATGGATGAACAACCATCTTACTTTAGAAACCCAAAATTTCATCCAAATTAGAGCTCTGGTCATTCATTTCTTTTTCGTATTTCACCACTATATTTTCGATATCTGTTTTCTCTACCATCTTCATTGTTTCCTCGAAAACTTTGTCCCAATTTAAAAAAAAAAAACTTCTTTATGATCAATAGTTTTGTCATTTAATTGAAGTATCCTTTTGTAATATATTTCTGTTTTGACAAACCTTCTTCAATCTGTGGTGTGTGGGTTCGAATCCCACTGTGGGACGTGGAGACCGGTCCTTCGGATGAGATCGTATAAACCGAGGTCCCGTGTCGCAGTAGGTGCTGGCACGAAAAATATCCCTCCTTGCTCAATGGCCTTGAGTGCCGAGTATAGGACAAAATTTGCAGCTCTCCATCGGCAAATGGTGGCGTCTTCATATGAGTGAAAAAATTCTCGAGAGGGACGTTAAACAATATACAATCAATCAATCTGTGGGTTGAAAGAAGCCTTTATTCTCGTGTCATCCATGACAATCTTTTTGTCCCCCGCTTGAAAAGTGGGGGATATCAATTTGGGTTTGTCCGTCCGTCCGTCTGTCCGTCCGTCCGTCTTTCTGTCTGTCTGTAACGCTTTCGTTTCCACAAGATATCTTGAGAACCCTTTGAGCTTTTGCAATGAAATTTAGCATAGCAACTTCCTATGGACTAAAGAAGAAACCTATTGATTTTGAGGTCAAAAGATCAAAGGTCAAGGTCATAAATAAGCAAATTCTGTCTGTTATAACACTTTCGTTTCCACATGATATCTCTAGAATTTGAGCTATTGCAATGAAATTTTACATAGCAACTATCTGTGGCCTAATGAAAGACCTCTATTGATTTTGAGGTCAAAAGGTCATAGTTCAAGGTCGTAAATTTAGACATTCTGTCTGTGTATAACACTATCATTTCTGGGCGATATTTCAAGAAGATTTTGAGCTTATGCAATGTAATATTATACCAGAACTCCCTAGGGCCTCTTTCACCCCTCTCAAAGTGACCCGCCCCGTTAGTTTTATTAGTATTTATAGTATTACATGTCGCTATTTTTAGCACAGGGGCATGAGGAGAGTTATTGCGTATAAAACAGGTTCTCGGCGGACTTTATGTTCTTATTACATCTTTTAGAACTGTTTAATAAAGGCTAAATAAATCAAAGACCATGGATTGTGTAAAACTTTGACAATACCGAACATGAATATATACATGTATGTGGTATGTTTCTCGCTTCCCATGTGAGAGGTACGGAAGCCCATTAGTGCCAACCTCTATATATAAAGAAAAAGCAATATATAAAAGCAAACCTCTATATATAAAGGAAATGCGATATATATGAAGAAAACCTCGATATATATAAAGGAAATGCGATATATATGAAGAAAACTTCGTTATATATATAAAGGAAATGCGATATATATAAACAAAACTTCGATATATATATAAAGAGAAAAATTTCCAACGCCTGATCTTTAACATATTTAATGACCTTCATTACAACAGACACTTCGCCAACATATGATAAGCAGCTCCCAGTCCAATGTTTTGATTGCAATCAGTTGATGTGGCTGTTTCAGGATGGTATCCAGCGTGTTATGTTTTCTTCATTTGTGTATCTTGATAATTATGACGATTAAAACTAAAGCTAAAAAACTGCTGCTCTTCTTACATTTCAGACGCGTTGGGCAGAATGACACCAATGAGAGACTTTTCTGCTTAAAATGTATATTACATAGCACTTAATATTGGGGGTCTTTTTCATCGAAATATAATTCGGTGCAAAAATGCAAGTGTGTTTTATCATGTTTTAAAAGCTATTTAGCGTTTTACGATATTTTTTACATAATGTTTGGAGAATTTCAAATCGATTTAATTTGCGATGTGGGACAAAAATC